TAAAAAAGAAAAAGTGGAACCCCTACATAAATTGGAGCAGGGGGCTGCTAAAAATCTGATGAGCCTACCCAGCATGTGGCCCAGAACAAGTTCAGGAAACTATTCCAGCAGGCTGCAAGGCAGGGGCCGCAGCACAACAATAGGGAAGAGACCTTGGCTCTATCCCTAAAGAATACTGGGACTTGAGGGAGGTGTTCAGTGAAAAAGGATCAGATGAGCTTCCCCTCACCGACAACAGACTGTGCTATAGAGATTTTACCAGAGGCTAAACTACCTAAGCCAAAACTCTACTTTTTTTTTTAAATAATTTTTTATTTTTCCAAACTCTCCCCCATACATATACCATAATACTTATCAGATATTAACATACATTCCCTCCACACTCACATACAGATACTTTTAACAAAATGAAATAAATACATACACATAACTTTGGTGTTGCTCGCCCATTTCCCCTTTCACCATATCCACACTTCTTCTTCTTTACCTTCTTTCTCCCTTTCTTCTCTTCCCTACTTCCCTCTTCTTCCTCTCCTCTCCTTCACCACTCTCCTCCCCTTTCCTCTTCCTCCAACCTTCCTACTTCCTTCTCCCCTCCTTTACTCTTTTCTCTCTCCTCTCCTTTCTTCATCCCTCTTCAGACACAATTCAGGGGTAATGTCCGAGCAACCCCTCTCTCCAAATTTCCCTATCTGTATTATATACAATAAGATTAATACTTCTATTTATCTAACCTTCTCGGTATATACTTCTATAAACATTTATACAGCCTGCAGTTATTCAATACTGTGTCGCCTGGGTCTCCCTCCTTATCTGCTCCTTCTTCCATCTAAATTGATGTTAACTATCTTTTAACTGTATTCTCTTTTCAGCCAATCATAAAGAGTTCCCCAAATTTCATAGTAGTCTGACTCTGTCTTATCTTTAATTGTCATTGTTAGTCTATTCATTTCTGCACATTCCAATATTTTCCCAATCATCTCTCCCTCTGGGGGGGCTTTCAGTGCTTTCCAATTTTGTGCAAACACAATCCTGGCTGCCGTAATTACATGAATAATTAAATATGTTTTTTTCTTTATTATATTTCTCTGGTAGAATACCCAACAGGAATATTTCTGGTCTTAGTTCTATACGTTGTTGTATCATCTTTTCTATCCATGTTCTAATTATATTCCAATAAGTTTTAGCTTCTACACACGTCCACCACATATGGTAGAAGGAACCTGGTATCTGATGATATTTCCAACATTTCATAGACCTGTCCTTAAACATTTTAGCTAATCTTTCAGGAGACATGTGCCATCTGTAAAACATTTTGTACATATTTTCTTTATACGCAGTCACCATTGTCAATTTATAGTTTCTTTCCCATAATTGCTGCCATCTATCTAATTCAATTGTGTATCCAAAATTCCTTGTCCATTTTATCATTGTCTCTTTCACTTGTTCTTTCTCTAACTCCATATGTAGTAGATAACTGTACATTTTTTTAATCCATTTTTCTTCCGTTCCTGTGAGTATTTCATCTAACTCTGTTGTCCCCAAATTAATACCATCTATTTTAACATCTTTTTCATATCTAGATTGTATTTGCTTCTCATGTACCAATCCATCTTTATTCCTTGTTCCTTTAATTGTTGTTTGGTTTTCAACTCCCCCATATCTGTTAATAAGTCTTTATATCTTATAATGTTTCCCATGTTAAACATATTGGGGTGTATTAACGCCTCCATAGTTGAGAGCCAATTTGGAATCTTCAAATAATAGTTTCTCTTTACTTTCTCCCAGACAACAAATAGAGAATTCCTGGAAATAGTTATGTATTCTGTTTTTTCCATACCATATGAAAGCATGCCATCCCAACTGTAAATCATGTCCCCCTAATGTCAATAATCTTGTATTCCTCAATAAGATCCATTCTCTCATCCATGATAATGCTGCAGCCTGATAGTACAATTCCCAATTAGGTAGACCAAACCCACCTCTCAATCTTGTATCTTGTAACATTTTTAGTTTAATTCTTGCCTTTTTTCCCTGCCAAATATATTTCAAGATTATTTTATTAAGCCCTTCAAAATATTTCTTTTCTAATCTTATTGGTATTGTTGTAAACAAGAACAATAATCGTGGTACTATATTCATTTTGATTATCGCAATCCTTCCCATTAATGATAGTTGTACATTTTTCCATTTATCCAAATCTACTTCAATTTGTCTTTTCAATTTATGATAATTATCCTCTTTAATTGTTGTGCATCTTGCTGTCAGGTGGATCCCTAAATATTTTACCTTCTTTACAATCTGTATATCTAATTTTCCCACCAGTTCTTTTTTTTGTGCCAAAATTCTACTTGATGACCCCAAGAGAACTAGAGGAATTATGTTCTTTCATTGATAAGAATGTTGTCCATGGATTTATCCAGCCAGCACAACTCCAAATGGCTGCTCCTGTTTTGTTTCGGGAAAAAAAAGATGGATCACCTCTCCTGTGTGTGGACCATAGAGGGTTAAATGGGGTGTGCGTAGAAAACATTTACCCCTTGCCCCTAATGAAGGACATGCTAGGCAACTTAGTGAAGGGCACGATTTTTACTAAGTTGGACCAACGGGAGGCATATTATTGTGTGAGAATCAAAGAGGGGGGACAAATGGAAAACTGCTTTTAATTGTCCATTAGGGTGTTTCCAGTTTAAAGTCCTCCCTATCAGCTTCCAGGATGCTCCAGCCATCTTCATGCAGTTAATTAATGAGGTGCTGCATGAGCACTTATTCAAAGGGGTGCTGGTGTACTTAAATGACATATTGATTTACAGTTTACACCAAGATGAAAGCTGAGCATGTGAAATTGATGAGAGCTATGCTCAAGAAACTAAAAGCTGCTAAGTTGTATGTCAAGGTTTCCAAATACAAATTCCACCAGAATAAAATAGTCTATTTAGGCTCTACCACATATCGCATGAAGGAATCAAGATGGACCCCCAAAAGATCCAGGTGGTACTGAACTGGGCTCCATTCCACACCAGAAAACAATTGCAAAGCTTCCTGGGGTTTGCCAATTTCTACACCAATTCATCCCATCTTTTGCTCAGATCGCACTTCTCATCACTAATCTTTTAAAGACAAAAGGAGAAGACAACCCCAAACCTAGCCAATCTTTAAAATGGACTATGGAATGTCAGGCAGTATTCAAGAAACTTAAATGCTTATTTGCACCTGAACCTGTCCTAAAACACCCAGATCCAAATGCCTCATTTATCATTCAGGCAGACGCTAGTGATGTGGCGGCAGGGGCCATACTGTTGCAATGAAATGAACAAGGGAATCCACAATCCTATGCCTACATATCTAGAAAACTGTCAGAGACTGAACGGAGATGGGTGGCCTGGGGAAAGGAGGCTTACACCGTACGCTGGGCACTCTTAACATGGAGGCATTTCCTTGAAGGGAGCAAGGTGCCTTTTGAGGTGTGGACTGACCACAAAAATCTAGAGGCATTGAAAAACCCACAGAGGCTGTTGCCCAAGCAAGTCCAATGGGCACAGTACTTCAACCAGTTTAACTTTACTTTGCGCTACCTTCCAGGAGGAAAGACTTTTCTGACTGACACCCTATCGTGAACACCTTGGTATAACTGTACCAAGTCAGACATGGTCCAACCATTTAATCCCATCATGCCAGCTGAGCACTCGAGTTACAATCAGAGTGCAAATGAGAGAGAAGCCTCAGATAAAGAACAACGTCACAGTGACTCTTAAAGCCTCATTACAGGAATTGGTTTTAAAATCACAAAAATGAACGTTCCATACAAGACAGTCTAGCCTGGGTGAGGGCTAAATTGTATGTACAAGAAAGCCAGAGGTTACTGGTCCTTAGTAAAAACCATGATTCAGAAACTGCTGGGCATTTTGGTTTTGTAAAAACTTTACATTTAATTAAAAGGCAGTTTTGGTGGCCATCCTTAAAGAAGGACATTGAAAGCTATGTGGCAAGTTGCCCAATTTGTGCCTCTGCCAAGCAGTGGCAGGGGAAAACCCCAGGGCTCCTCCAACCAGTGGCTAACCCAAAGGCACCGTGGAGAGAAATCTCCATGGATTTCACAGTAAACTCCCAGAAAACTCAGGAAATATGATTAAATGGGTTATAACTGATTTGTTTCCCAAGCAGCTGCACTTTGTCCCATGGCAAAAAATTACCTTGGCACATACACTAGCCAAGCTTTTTTTCTTTTCTATTTTTAACATTATGGCTTACTGCAGTGTATTTTTGTTTGCAGATTAATTTCTTACTCAGCTCTTCTTGTAAACAATTTGATTATTACTTTCATAATGAAACACTTGCTTAGAGTGAGTTATTTTTCAATACACTTGGATTAGTATATACCACTGTTTTCCCTGCTTATGATCCCACCAAAGGAAATGGACAGTAATTTGTCTGGGATGGTATAGGGTCTCTTACTCGAGTAGAGCATTGGCCTAGAAAACTTCCAAAATCTCCTCCAATGCTGTTATTGTGTTGTCTCTGCTCCCTCTAAACTATGTTAAGCAAACCCAAACACCCAATAACCAAAGAAGAAAAACAGGAGTCATCTTTAACATTCAAGGTAAAGACTATAACAACCATTATGTAGGACATGTAAGTATCCATGAGATTAACTGGCAATCAGAAGACATTATGAAAATACCTTAATCTCTCAAAAACTACAATTTCAATTGGAAAATGTTGACATTTTAAATCAAGCCAAATCAAAGACAAGCAGCACAGTGCACATCATTATTTAGATAAGCAGAAAACAGCACTTAAGTAATCAGGAAAGAGCTGATTTTTTTTATCATGATCCTCACTATGATGCCATAATATTAGTGGTTGATAATTCTAATGTAAAAAGTGTGATAAAAATAGAAAACAGTAGATAAAAGTATTAAAAACTTACAGCAGTTTGCAAATCCTGACAAAAAACCAGACTCTTTAATCCTTACACAACTTTAATATGGCCCACCTACCAGAAAAAGCCCCATTCAATGGAGCTAGCAGGGTATATTCTTCTTCTGGCCGTAGAGATGCAGCCAAGCCAAGCTGAGCCACCAAGTCCTTGAAGGTAGCTTGGTGGGGACCAGCAAGTTCAATAACTTGTTTAGCTAAAATTGAAAACAAGAGGGTAAATAGAGGTTTGATTTGCTTCAAAATCCTTACTTCACAAATAAATATTTCATATAAAATTTAAAGAATTATAGTTATCAATTTTGGCTATAAATGACTCTCCTTAATTGAGACAAAAATTAGGTCAGCTGTTGGTCCAGTCTGGTGAGCAATAGTATGAAAAAAGATGAAATTGAATTTACTCCTGTTTCACTTACCAGAATCAGGAATAAGCACTTGATCTATGAGATGAATGACACCATTACTTGCCACAATGTCTTTTCGGTTCACCATTTTGACTCCATTGATTATCAAGCTTTCACCATCACAGCCAATTTCAATTGTATTGCCTTCCAAAGTCTCAAAGACTGCCCCACCCATGATGGCCTCAGAACACTGAAGTGTATTTAAAATGTGGAACTTTATCAGAGCTGAATAGGAAAGAGAACAAAAAGAACCATGCTCCAATGAAAAACAAGATATCATACTGAAGTACTGCAGTAATTTGACTGTCTTCCCCTCAATTCAGTTCCATTAAAAACAGCCCTAAATTGAGCAGAGACACAGTGATTGGTCAAAAGTTATGCAATCAAGTAGCAAACATAGTCATCTAAGTCTATCATCTAAACACATTTGTGATCTGATTTTTTTCCCCCTGTATTGAAAAGAAAAATAATTTGCAGATTTGTCTCTCATCAGTTATTCTCCAAGATGGGAAAGTAGCTTATCCTATCCCCCCATTCCCTCCTATCCCCCAGAATGGGGATTACATCTGAAGGCTTTTTGGTTACATTGACAAAGAGATTTATTGAACTGGGTACCCTTTTGGTTATGGACTAAGTTCCTTAGTTCCTTTCTCATTTAGACATATTTGTCTCCCCAATAAATATGTCTAAATGAGAAAGGAACTAAGGAACTTATTTGAATAGGTAAGCCTATACCATTATATTTTTAAAGATTACTCCCATTCAAAAAAGTAATGGAACCAATCTGCAAAATCCACTGAATTAGGCTGCATTAACAGAGGGATAGTATCAAGATCACGTGACATATTAGTACTGCTTTTCAAAGCTTTAATATGGCTACACTTGGAATACTGCATCCAGTGTTGATCACCACAATATAAAAAAGATAATGAGACTCTGGAAAGAGTGCAGGAAAGAACAACAAAGATGATTACAGGGCTGGAGAATAATACATATGAAGAGCGGTTGCAGGAATTGGGTATGCCTAGTCTAATGAAAAGAAGGATTAAGGGAAAGATATTAGCAATGTTCCAGTATTTGAGGGGCTGCCACAAAGATGGGGGAGACAAACTATTTTCCAAAGCACCAGAAGGCAAGACAAGTAGCAATGGATGGAAGCTAATCAAGGAGAGAAGCAACCTAGAACTAAGAAGAAATTTCCTAATGGTGAGAACATTCAACCAGTGGAACTAATTGCCTTCGGAAGTTGTGGGCACCCCATCGCTGGAGGTTTTCAAAAAGAGACTGGACAGCTGCTTGTCTGAAATGGTATAAACTCTCCTGCTTGTACAGGGAATTAATAACCTCCAAGGTCCCTTCCAATTCTGTTATTCTATGTTCTATATTCTAAGATGTTAGATAAATTCTTGATAGATTAGTAATGATTCTCCCTTTCAGAAGTTTGAGGTAGGCACTGGGAGATCTGTTAACTTGGTTTTTTTACTTGGAGTTGTTAGAACATAGTGGGAACCACTTTTTTAAAAAAGAGAAAACAGTAATTGCCATGTGAAAAACCATAAACGCAAAGATGCAGCCAACTAGATTTCTAGAAAGTGATATTAAGGATGGTGCAATCTCAAAATACCAGTGAGAACTAAAACTAGGAGTCATCCAAAGGAGCCAGTGTGGTTGAATAAGCAGCTCATGAAGGAACTAAATTGCAGAAGGAAGAATTGACTAAAGAGAGAATCTTCAGAGCTTCAGTTTGGAAATGTAGAAATGAGGTAAGATGACAAAGATTAAAAGCAAGCTAAAGCTTAGCAAGATAGGCAAAATCAAGCAAGAAGGATTTCTTTAGTTATAAAGAACTAAAGAAGACAGGATTTTTATTCTGGACTGCTTATTCCAAATGGAAACATCTTAATAGATGGTCAAGAGGAAGCAGACATATTCAACTCCTGTTTTGTCTTTGTCTTTCAAAGCAGGCTTGGTATAATGATTAGGGTAACAGGCTATAAATGGGGAGTCTGTGAGTTGTAGTACTGCGTTATACATGAAGCCAGTGGGTGTCCTTGGGCCAGTTCCTCTTTCTTAGCCTTAGGAAGGAGGCAATAACAAACCACTTCTAAAAATCTTTGCCAAGAAAACTGCAATGAGTTGTCCAGGCAAAAACCAGGATTCAAAAAAGATTTAAAGGGACAAATATTGAATTACTTACTTTACACCTACAAAAATGTGATTGTGTAGATTAGGAATTAAGGAGTTACAAATTAGTAAGAATGAAGTAAAGCTAATCTAAACATTTACATTCACATTCCAAGCCATGATGGAATATATTTAGAATATTGAAAGAACTGGTGGAAGAACTGGTAGGACCTTTGTCAATTGTCTGGGAGGAGTCTTGGAGAACTGGGGAAGTGCCAGAAGATTAGAGAAGAGCAAAAGTGCCCCTTCTTCAAGAAAGAAAAAAGAGTAATTATTAACCAGTGAGCCTTACATGATGAAAAAAAAACAACATTCCAATCTGGCAGGTTGGAAAACTGGACAGTGAGCAACAAAACAGCCTTCAACAAAATGTCTTTCAACTGAAAGAGGAACTATATGGGACATGCATACCAGATGGAGGATTCATGTTTTCGAAGCAATACATAAAAAAAAGAACTTGCAACTGTTGGAGCTAATGCAGTTTGAAAATGCATTAGAAAAAGCATTGAATCAAAGCTATGTGAAGTCATTATTCCTCTATTCTGCATTGATGAGATCATAACCTGGAGTACTGTGTACAATTCTGTGCACATTGCCAGAATGATTTTGGCCATCTTGTCAAGTTCAAAGGAGAATGACAAATGAATAGATGAATAAATAAAGGAATAGACATCAGGCTGAAGGAACTTGAATGTAGAATGTAGAAGTTTAGATTTAGGGATACAAGATAGCTGTGCTCAAATCAACCATCCCATTTGGCACATTCAACAAAAGAAACTCCAACTCTTTACATTAACTAAGAGTGTAGCTTTATTGAAAAAATCCATCTAAGCACGGCAGAAGCAAAGTCAGTTCTAGGATTTTTCCTGCGAAAACTCACATAGGTAACTCCCCTCTTCCCCTCCAGGCCAACCACAGTCCATAGTTCACCAATTGAGTTCAGTTCTTTTGCTTTGGGAAAAGCTGTCTGCTTCAGTCAAAACATTCTTCGTCACTTGGCCTTGTTAGATAATGTCTCCCCAGCAACAGATGGTTCATTTGCATTTCATAGCCTGCCTCCCACCCTTAGGAATTCACCACCCTCCTCCTGTCACTGTTTGACAAAGCTGCTATCATGGTTCCAGTTGATGAGACCAGTAGAAATAAGAACTCTGAGGCAACTGCTTTCCTCAAAGAACACTTTTAATGGCTACATAATGTCAGCAGGAACAAAGGTGAAACCAAGACTGAAAATTACCCCCCCCCAAAAGGTTATAAAGTAAAAGTTGAACTCCCCACCCCTTAGTGTGTCATAAATCACAATCCCCAATTACCATCTTTGGCAGGCTTCCTAACGGTAGCTCCAGCCCACCAAACATTTAGACAGCTTGACCTTGGTTGCCACAAGAAAGTTATTGTTTTGACTAAATTAAAAGAATGCATCTTCCCCCCCCCCAGTGCTGTGGCAACCGAAAAGCAAAGAAACATGGCAGAATTCGGAGCATTTAAAGGTTTGACAGCTGTGAGCGAAAGCAGGTACAAGCAACTATGGAGTTGATGCAGGTTTGTCAATAAAGGGAAGCTACAGTGAATATGGTCAGGAATTACCAAAGGTGCTTTTTTTCAGGAGGCAACTGGATTTTCTTGTGCTTCTTTTGAAGACATTTCGCTTCTCATCCAAGAAGCTTGTGTTTCAATTTGAGATTCTGATAGCACAGACTCATCCCCAATAGCCTGTGCCTGTTTTCAACAGTGAAGGGAAACTGGGCAGAAAACACCCTGCAGCCAAGAAAGATCCACACACATTTGCACTTCTCAGGTTACCCTGAGGACACAGGTAAACCTCTAAAATGGTTTCAATGACTCTCTAAAAGAATGCTAATGACCAGCTGTCTGCAAGAATATAAATCCTTCCATTCCCTACCATCCAGTCAGAGCTGAAGAAGCTTCTTGGGTGAGAAGCTAAACTCAAAAGAAACACAAGAAAGTCCAGTTGCCTCCTGAAAAAAGCACTTTTGAGACAAACATACCTGGATGACTGAGGATCTCCATAGACATGGTGAAGAATTATTTTTCCTTGCCACAAAAAAATCAGTACTAAAAGTAATGAAAGCTACCAACATTTCATTTATAACAGAATAACAGAGTTGGAAGGGACTTTGGAGGTCTTTTAGTCCAGCTTCCTGCTCAAGCAGGAAATCCTATATCCTTTCAGACAAATGGCTATTCTGTCTCTTCTTAAAAGCCTCCATTTCCTTTTTTAAAAAAAGGAAAAATGTCTTGATGATTTACTAAGGAAGCTTGTGGCCTTGTTATCTTTGGAAGTGCTTTACATGAGATGAGTAAGCCACATCTCTAGGATGGTTTAATTAGTTTTCCTGCATATTACAAGGGTTGGATTCCCTTGTGATCACTTCCAATTCCAAAATTCTATGAACTGATTCAAGTATAACATGCATCCAAAACTGAACAACTAAATAAGGAGCTTTTGGTATTCTGATTTATGATTATTAGTTATTAATAAAATATGCATTGTGATAGCTATAACATGTGTTTCAGCACTGTATTTTTACTTTTGGTAATTTAACTATCAAGTAATTTTGAGTAAAGTTATTATAGTACCTTCAGAAGCCACCCTGTCTCCCATTATTCTTTCCAAGATTCCACGTGGAAGTTTCTCAAATGCTTCATTAGTAGGTGCAAAAAGTGTATAATGTCCGGGCTTCCCTAAAGTTTCCATTACATCTGATGCAAAGGCAGCAGCCTATGAAAAATAGGGAATAAGGAATCTTTTAAACTCTTATGCAAAAACAGTATAGTTATATTTTTAAATATTGCCAATTTTCTTTGACATGATACCAAAATACATGGTAATTAACTGTACTGAAAAGTTTCTTTAGCATAAAATATAATTGCAAGATGATATGTTTATATACATGCGAACTGTATGTTACTTAAAGTAATTTCTACTGAATTGTGACAGGTTTTCCTTTGTGAAGATATGAAGGAGCTAGCAGAAGAAATATTAGAACAATTAAACCATATCTTGGAGAACTGAAGAACTACCAGAAAACTGAAAAAGAGCTGATGTGGTTCCCATCTTCAAGAAAGGGGAAAAACAGATCCAGGAAACTATAGAGTCTCTTGAATAGAGTCTATTCTATTGGCTTTCAAAAGCCAATAGAATAAGAGGGAGTAGCACAGCTAAAGAAAAGGGGAAAAAAATGGCGGACAGCCTTGTTTGGCGACCTCCATGAAATGGTCGTTTGACCCCAAATGGGGTCGCGACCCATAGGTTGAGAACCGCTGCTATAGATCAATCAGCCTGACATCAATACTGGGAAGATTCTGGAAAAGATAATCAAGCAACAAATCTGCAAATAACTACAAGCAAGCAAAGTTATAATCAGTAGCCAACATAGGTTTGTCCAAAATAGAACATGTCAAACAAATCTTATTTCAATGAAGGAGAACATTTGTAGCTCAGGGTTGAAATGAGGGGTCCTTGGGTCTCTCTGAGATTGCTTGTTTTCTTTCAGACATTTAATTGCTAGCACTGATTATGTTACCAAGTTAGGATAATGTAAGGACCCACTTCAATCCACATCTTAAGAAAGCAGAACTCTTGGAAACGGTCTTTTGCAACAGGGACTTTTATTAAGAGAAATTGATAGCAGGCATGATAGACACGATCTGAGGGATTTCCTTACAAATCAATGTTTTAAAGTGTCCCTAAGCAGCCCCCACCCCGCAGTTCTTCTGGGCAATTCAGACCAGCAGATTTCTAGGTGTTAAATCCAGGAAAGATAACATCAATCCGGCTCCGTTGCACACGATCATTCAACAGCTCCTCACACCTTATTTTGATGACAGATAAATAAGCCAGATTCTGGAGGCTGCATCTTTTCACACACACCCTTTCCTAACTGGCCAGTAAGGAGGGGAAGTTCAGAGGGGCGTAGGATAAAAGGCTAATGGTTACATTGTGATGGTTAACACACCCGAGGTGAATAAACAAAAGGTTACTTTGTAGTGAATAGAGAAAGTGAAAGTAATAAAACCCTCATGCATTCTCCCCCTCCCCTTAGGAGTATGGCACATTGGGCAGCTGGCCATGTAATTTTCTATGTCCTTGTTCATGGATGGCCACCAAAATTGCCTTTTAATTAAGTGTAATGTTTTTGATTTTGTGTCATGGCACAGCTGCATGAATGTGCAACTCTGGGTGGTTGGTATATATACTTTTTCCCCCATCCAGGGCCGTCCATCCTTGATTGTGCACACATGTCTATTTTTCTGGAACCATTCATCTGTTTCCAAAGTTTTCGGGAATTCAATTCTGGTTTGGCTACCCAGCTGCGATTTTAATTTAGCTTGAGCTCTGGTGGTTACTGGCACTGCCAGTTGTGGTTCCGCCATAAACAGTTTAGAATTGGTGGCTCGCGTGCTGTTATATTGGGGCATGCGAGACAGTGCATCTGCCAAGAAGTTCTCCCCCCCCCCCTCGCAAGTGCTTGAGTGTAAAATGGAATTGGTGAAAATGCTGGGACCAGCGGGCTTGCTTGGGGTTGAGCTTCCTGGGTGTTTTCAAGTTTTTGTAGTCCATCCAGATCTGAAAAGGGATTTTATTCCTTTCAAGGAACTGGTGCCACGTAAGTAATGACCAACATATCCCATATGCTTCTTTCTCCCGCATGGGCCAGTACTGTTCTGTTTTAGTGAGTTTCTTGGACATATACGTACAGAGTTGCAATACCCCTTCATTGTTTTCTTGTAATAGTACAGCCCCCACTGCCACATCACTTTCATCCACCTGTATTATGAAGGGCTTATCCATATCTGGATGCCTCAGTATGGGTTGGGGAGAAAAGAGTCTCTTTAATCTCTCAAACACTGCTTGGCATTCCATTGTCCATTTTAGTGGCTGGTAGGTTTCACTGAGGATTCTCCCTTCATTTTAGATGTCGTCTAAATAAGTTCGTGAGGGGCAGGGCTATCTGGGCAAATGAGGGAATGAACTGGCGGTAAAAGTTTGTGAAACCCAGGAAACTTTGCAGCTGCTTTCTTTTGCGAGGTGGTTCCCATTCTAGTACTGCTATGACCTTCTCTGGGTCCATTTCAATGCCCTGTGGGGATATGCAATAACCTAGGTAGTCTATTCTTTCCTAGTGGAATTCACATTTCGATAATTTGGCATATAGGTGGGCAGCTTGCAGTTTCTTTAAAACTGCTCTGACTAGGTTGATATGTTCCTTTTGGATTCGGTGAAGATGAGGATGTCGTCTAAATAAACCAGGACCTCCTTAAATAGGTGCTCCCTTAGTACCTCGCTGATTAATTGCATAAATACTGTGGGACCCCCTTGTAATTCAAATGGCAAAACTTTGAATTGGTAGCACCCCATTGGGCAATTAAATGTGGTTTTCCATTCACCCCCTTCCTTAATTCTAATGCGGTAATACGCTTCCCTTAGATTTAGTTTAGTGAAAATTCTTCCTTTTGAGAGGTGGGATAACATATCCTTCATGAGGGGTTGGGGGTATAGGTTGTTTTCACTGATTGCATTCAATAGGTGGTAGTCCACACACAAGTGTAAAGTGCCATCCTTATTCTCTCTAAAGAGGACCGGAGTGGCTACTTTAGGCTTGGCAAGTTCAATGAATCCCCTTTCTAGGTTTTTATTTATGAATTTTTCTATTTTCTCCTTCTCCTTAGGGCTCATAGAGTATAGTCTGCGCTTCGAGAGTTTTGCCCCAGGCTTGAATTCTATGGCACAATCCATGGGTTGGTGGGGGAGAGTTCGTTCACCCTCTCCTCACTGAAAACTTCAGCAAGGTCTCGGTATTCCTCTGGTATTTTGGGTGGCCACTTTTCTTCTCCCATGGATGCCTTTTCTGTTCTTAATTTTGGTAGGACTCCTTGGGGTTTTAAGTCCATAGGATCCCCCTTCAGGAAATTGATTTCTGCCATCCTCCAATTTACCCAGGGGTTCCATTTCTTTAATCATTCCAGCCCTAGGATTACTGAGCATTCCATGCCTGGAGTCATTACAAATGTTATGTCTTTCTCATGGTTTCCCAGGGATAGGTGGATTGGTAAGTGGCTAGGGTAGCTGGCACCCCCCCTGCTATGGACCCATCTAACTGGCCAAATGAGATTGGTTGTTTTAGCCTCCTCACCAGAATGTCCATATTCCCCACTAGTGTCAGGCTAATGAGGCAGTGGGTGCAGCTAGAGTCTATTAATGCTTTCACTTTGCAGCTTTGGGCATGGAGGGAGCTAATATAGTTACTGTCTTGAGGATGGGTGCAATGGGTCCACGTACCAGGGGTTCACCCTCTGAGCTGTCATCTGAGGTGTCCAGCTGCTGGCAATGGTCTAGAATTCTTGCGTATATTCGGCTACAGGGCCTTGCCTCACCATTTTGTTTCTTTCATGGGCTTTGTGATCAGCCAGGGGTTCCTCAAATCACCTTTTCAGAGAGGACATGAAATGGTTGAAGTCGTTGAGCTATGGAGCATTGGAGTCGTGAAAGTTCACCACCCAATCTGTGGCTTGTCCTTCCAGAGCGGATTGCACCATACAGATACGGGCTTTGTTGCTATGGATGTGCCGCCTATATTCTTTCATGTAGCTGAGGACTTGGGTTAGGAAACCCTTGAAACCCTTGAAACCTTGAATTTCGTGTCCAGCGATTGGAGTCTTTGAATGGATCAGTGCCTTCGCCGTCGGTGATATTGTCTTCCATCCTGATCACCATCTGCAGGTCGGCAGGGAGTGGGGGCTGCTGAAATGGTCACTACTGGATCAGTGGACGTCTCTGGGGCTATAGGTTCCAATTCCCCATCAGTGTCTCTCCAGCTGCAGCTCCAGGTGTTGGTGCGGATGCAGGGCTCAGAATTCTCCTCTCCTAGAGAGCCGAGGGTTCTTTTCATCAGGTCAATAGCTTTCTCTAGGATCCAGTTTGAGTGTTGTGCCCAACTTCCTTTCTCTTCGCTAATGTGCAGAGATTTCTCCATCTCCTGCTTCCATTCTGGTTGGTGCCCCCTCCGTCTCAGGGTCACCTTTCTCGATCTCTTTTCCCACTTACCTTTCTTTCCAACGCCCATTGATCACCGAGGTTTGTGGTTACACGTCTCCACCACCTCTTCTCTTGAGGAGTATGACATTTCAGATCCCGACTATTGGTAGTGGAAAGCTCCCTCTCGCTGGGGTTTTTTCGTTTCCGTGCCTCGTCGTCTGACATTGTATTTTTTGCGAAGTCCCTTGGCAAGGTTCTCCCTTCCAGGTTGACTATTACTGCAGATCCTGTCCTGTAAGAACCCACTTCAATCCACATCTTAAGAAAGCAGAACTCTTGGAAATGGTCTCTTCCAACAGGAACTTTTATTAAGAGAAATTGAAAGCAGGCATGATAGACAGGATCTGAGGGATTTCCTTACAAATCGAAGTTTTAAAGTGTCCCTAAGCAGCCCCCACCCCACAGTTCTTCCGGGTGATTCAGACCAGCAGATTTCTAGGTCTTAAATCCAGGAAAGATAATATCAATCTGGCTCCATTGTACGCAATCATTCAACAGCTCCTCACACCTTATTTTGATGATGGATAAATAAACCAGATTCCAAAGGCTGCATCTTTTCACCCCCACTTCCTAGCTGGCCGGTAAGAAGGAGAAGTTCAGAGGGGCATGGGATAAAAGGCTAATGGTTACATTGGGATGGTTAGCAGACCCGAGGCAAATAAACAAAAGGTTACTTTGTAGTG